AAGCTTCTCTTACTGTGCGCAAGATTCATCCGACCAAATATTCAAAGCTACCGTTGCACTAATGAGGACAACAGGAACACTACTAAAATACTGTGGATTGGGAAGCCTTCTTCCTCTTCCGATCTTCTAGGAATTAAAAAAAAAAAAAATACTAACCGCATCCAGGCACGATTAAGTAATTTTAAAAAAACTTTCTGGAAACCTTCCTAAGATTCAGTTTCATTTCCTTTCTTCTGAAGAGCAGCAGTGCAGCGATCGCTGGGAGAGACACTCGTGTGCCTCCGTTCAGTGAAACGCCGAAAACGAGGTTAAGCTAGGCTTGGAATCTTAGGCTTGGTCGGACTGACTGTCGTTGCCTGAGCGAGAGAAACGCGGCAGAAACATTTTAGGGCCCGAGTGCCCATTTCATGCCAGTGAACGGCTGCAGCTCTAGAAAGCTGCGCCTCGTGTTGCCAAGGGATGCGCCTGAAAAACAAGTTTTATAGGGGAGGGTATTTGTATACAGGTGGTATACAGAATATCTTAAAATGTTGTAAGCCGCCTTGCAGCAGCTTCATAGGCCTAAGAAAAGGAAAGAGATTTAAGGCGGTATTTTGTCACTCTGTCTTGGAAGGCGGGATTGCAGCATCTCCTGTTCAACCTTACTGTGACCCTTTTTTCCCCTTTTTTCCTTGATGGATTTGTCGCACTTTCCAGATGGCAGCAAGGGACACACTGAAAGGTGAAGCGAGCTTCTGGGATGAGATCAAGCGTAGCTTCTCCGCTGATACGTGTCCTAAATTTTCCGGGAGGGAGGGAGAGGCATTTCCCTCTGCAGCGTCTCAGATGCCCCTGAAATCTGTTCCATGGAGTTTAAGGCAGAAGTGGAAAATGGTGTCCAGGGAGAGAAATCATTTCTAAGTACGTTGCACCCTGTTTCCAAGTTGAAATAAAGTGTCACTAAAGTTCGTAAGCATTTTTACACATCTCTCCTTTTTTCTGTGCCCTTTTCCTTATAGACACACGTTCACAATTTTCCCCCTACTGTGAGATATATTTTATGTGTCCTCACTAATTCAACATTTCTAATGCCTTCCTTCTTTTATTTGGCAAATGCCTATAAAACCTGGGAAAGTGCATATATTAAAGGATAATTATGCATATAGCTCAGGGGTGACTTTGGGGAGTAAGAGTTAGGTAGGTTTAACCCAAAATGCGTACTGTTCAATTTCTCTCCCTTTTCTAGTTCAAATGGCTACATCGGATTATTGGGTAGGGGCTGCAGAGGGAAGATTTCATCCTGTAGGCAGTGGGCTGTACGCATGAAATAGGATTTCATTCCTGCTATTAAAGTTCTGTCTTAAATAGCTTTCTTTTCTAGGCAGCACTTAAGTTAATATTCAGTCTTTTTAGTTGTTGTTGCTGGGCTCCCCATAATCTCCAAGATGCATCGGGTGGAAAGAGCTGGGCCGAAATGGTGGAATCTTTTTTGTCTTCCTAACCACAGGAACCTAACCCTAACAGCAGTTTTTAAGGCCTGCTAACTAGCAACAGGTAAAATAATAACTGCTGGATCGAGGTGCTTCTTGGCAGAAATTGTGTTGTTTTTGTTGTTCTGTTGAGTCCTGAAACAGATTCCTCAATGTACAGGTATTTATACCCACAGTTATTGGTCTGTGCGCTGCAGTTTTGTATACATATCTTTCTGGGTGGAAAGAATACGATGAGTTTTACGTTTGATATTGCTGTGATTAGAGAGGAAAATGCACATCTCTTTCTCTTTTTTAACTTTCCATACAGTAATTTTAAAAAGGCTTTTAATTGTTCCATCTTAAATGCTTGGCAAGGGGGGGACGGAGGGGGTTAAATTTTTTGAAAAACTGACAATGCACTTTGAAAACATAGGGCGCTCTGAATATGCACAGGAACTGTTTTGTTTTTCTGGTAATATATGCAGAAACCAAAACTCCAAATTGAAACAAAAGAATACAACTTTCTAAGTAGCTCTTTATTGCAATGATTCTTGTAAGCACACCAGTATCTCAGGTGAATGATTTCATTTTGGAGAGATCCCAAATATTCTCCGTGAGAACCAAGGCAAATCGCTAGCTTTTGAAAACGGGCGGGTGGGGGGGGGGACAATCCAAGGAGTGGACGTGCTTTTATCTTTTTATCACTGGAATTGTTTTATAATAAAATCAGTTCCGCTACTTATTTGGCTTCCCTTTAAAAATCCTTCTTTTAGAGAAAGAATGTTTTGAAAAATACCTTTGATGCAGTTTTTACCAATTATGGCAATGTTCAGTTGTAGCCAAGCAGCTCAAGTAGGATGATACGTCTTGTAGTTACTACTGCCTTTCTAACATTCAGCTTTAGGGACTAGTCTCTGCTGCAAGATTAAATTAAAATTAAAACGCCATGTGCAGACAAACAATGAACTGTGACTTCAGCTCTGTCAACCAGCTGATTTGCAATTGATCTTAAGTTGCTCAGTTAGAAATACCGTATTTTAGGCAGTGTGGGGAAGGGGTGTTCACATAGGTTTCAAATTTGCCATCTGTAACTTGTGAGTTTCCCACTTGCCCTAATATTAAACGTTTTAATAGAGTTGAGATGCAAGAAGGAGGACAGCAATGAATGGAAACTCTGTCCTTCTGGAATGAAAATAAGGAGTAACTGGAGCCATTTTATTTTTAAAAAGCAAAATGTACTCTTTGGGGTCTCTTGTGCCTTTTTAAATGCCTGCTCATGAAGCAGAAAGGATCGAAGCTTTCTGGCACATGGGGGGCTGCTCCCTTTTGCTCAGAGCTGGGGTTATCCAGAGGCGGTGATCTGGAGAGAATCACGGTGGAATTTCCCTCCTCCTCCTCGGAGTTGCTGGCCAGGTTCTTTGGATTTAAATGCAGGTATAAGTCTTATATACTGGCCTTTATTTCTGTTTTGGTGTTGACTTGGTTAGGATATGCCATGCTGTACCTTCAAAGCCCTACAGCTAATATGGTGAATGTCAGCATTTGCCACCGGCTGTTTGTGGTGCTTCACAGAGAGTGGATGAGAAGCTGACGTAGGGGGCAGGTAGGCTCTCGAAGTGTGCATGTCACGCTCTCTCAACTTTTCCATTGTTTTTCAAATGCATAAATTGAGAGAGGACCCTGTTTCTGTAACAGGCGAGCCTGCCTAAAATCCTGTTAACAAAGTGTAGCAGCGAGGTAGACATCCAGGTATGGTTAGATGGTGGGAGGTCGAAACGTGGCAGAGAGATACCTCTGGGGTAACTCATCCTGCTAGGCATAGGATAGGCACGTGTTTCCTAAAAACAGGCCAGGAAATAGGGCCGTGCTTCTCATCACTGACACATCGCCCTAGAAGGCCAAAGAGACTTTGAAAGCCTGGAACAAGGTTTGATGGGTTATGGGCCATCAAGTCGGTGTTGACTCTTAGCAACCACATAGGTAGATTTTCTCCAGACCTGGAACAAAGAAGGTAAGGATAATTGAAAGTAGACAGTGTAACGTAACTAAGCCTTATCTCTTGAAAGGGAAGGAAAATTCCCACCCCGTGAAGATGGGACTGGGGCTCCTGAAAAATAGATGCAACGTAGGAAGTTGCCTTAACACAGCTCAGATTTTTAATTCATTTGCTCTGGAAGGGCTTTTCAAGTTCTCATTCAGCATGTGGGAAGTTTTGCTTTTTAAACTAAGACACTTGAACTGAAATCTGGGGTTTTCTGCATGCATATTGCTGACCTGTGGCATCTGTGCAGAATTCACCCCCCCCTTTTCTTAACTAACACATTAAATCTTCCAATCTATATACATTAATGGTTTGTGGAAAATTTCCCAGTAATAAGCAAGATTAGATTTTGTGTGTGTAACTTTAAATAGAAATGGTGCCACTTACGTTAATGTTTAGACAATAAATCCAGCGGCATTTATAAGCCATAAAGTCTTCACACATAAGGAAGAGAATGTAAATATGTTGTCTGTAGTCAAGAGAAGTTGTAAGTTGAGCTACATTTTTTTTTTATTTGAATGTGTTTTCCAAATGCTATCCCCCCTCTTGTTTAAATGACAGCTTTGCAAGTATGAGAATGTTCTTTGTGGCCAAGGGTGATGGTTCTGTATATCTTCCTTTACATTTGTGTTCATTGAGAACGTGCTTTTAAAGGCCTCTTGGTCATCAGTGATTAGAAAAAACTCGAGTGGGACATAATTGCACTGATTCTTTTTTACTGTAACCAACTTTCTGTTTGCATCTGCTGTAGCTGTTGGCATATACTGTACAGTGTTAGGGCTCACCGGGAGAGAAATGGCCTGTCTTCATTGTTATGTTTGTATAGCAAATGGCATGTTTTACAGTATTAAGAGACGATCCGAATGCACATAGCTGTCTTTGCAGATTTTCCATTTGAGTGTAACTGGCAAATCCTCAAAGGCCAGTCAGTGTCTGCTTATTTTGCTTTATGTGTTTGGTGAATGTTTGTCTCCCTGTGTCTGTCATTCCTTTCCTCCAAAATGCACTTTCTTTGTAACACATTCTTCTCTCCCCATCTCATCTCCCCGACCATAATTGGATAGATAAAGCTCCCCAGTGCAAAGTTAAACTGCCTTCTTGATTGTTATCCGTGTTTCTCAGATACAGAAGATGCAGATTCCGTGAGAGTAGGAAACCGGATCTGCCTGAGATGCTTTTGCAGGACCGTAGGCTCAACCAGTCACCGTGGCAGTTGAAACCGGTGGCTGGAAAGCAAAACAGAAGCTTTTGCTTCATTGCTGCTTTATTCCTACTCAGATGCCGGTTCACTTCTTAATGTTTATAAAGTGGGCAGCCATAGGAATAGCTGTGACTGGGAAGTGAATT